CCTGCACAAATACCTGCAGCTGCATTACCCACACATATGAATGCGGGACCCATGGGAAATTGCAACCGTACTGGGAACCTCGGTTCCCGTGCAGGCTGCGATTTCCAAAGAAGTGCAAGGACTTCTTCCCTGCGTGTCCCGGGGCACGGGAGGCCATTCAAATGACTGGGCTCTTGTGCCCACGCAAAACGTGGCCTGCACAGCCACACAGATGTGAACCTGGCCTTATAGATTGGTAAGTGTTGACAAAAAAAAAAATATATAATAATAATATATATATATATATATATATATATATATATATATAGTTAGCATGCAGATATATTTAGCATTTTTGTATTACTTATCACATCTTTGTCATCAGCAGTGCAACACTATAAATAGTATTATTTATTTTATTTATGGGAACATGGATTGGTGTTAGCAGCAGCTGGTTAATTATGATTATTATTGTTTAAGGCTTGTTTGTATTTATTTATATCATATCACTGGTAGCGCAGGGGTTTACACTCTTGTAATTTTCACTGTCACTCTTAGAGAGCTGTTACTGGAACACGCGTTCCCAGCTGGAAGAGTTTTCTTCTATTCCTGTCCCAGTGACAACTAATTTGTTTTAATTTTAAATTTGTTTTAATTTTCAGTCCCAGTGAAAATGGTCATCAAAACAAACAGAAAAAATAAATCTCTCCAGTAGGGACTCAATAGCAAGAACCTATCCATACATATCCAAACAAAAATGTGTTCTTACACACTAACAAAAGGTATTTATTATATTACCCATAATATAAAATACTTAAATATATTTCTAGTTCTTCTACATTCAATAGGACCAAAAACACAAAGATTTGTGTAGCCTCTGGATCGGCCAGTCCAGTAATTCCTGAATTGTCACACCATCCATTACACACTTTAATTCAGTAACTTGACAATACACATATCTAGTCATGGGAGGAAACTCACAAGAGACCAACTCATCTTTTTATTAAATTGTTCTCTGAAAAAAAGAACTGTGGGGACTCTTACTTCAATATTTCAATGTTCTGTCTAAATTGAAAATAATTGAGCTTCACAATTTATTCCATTAGGGAAATTTGGCCAGACCTATTATATTTCACAATTGGTCTCATTTTGCTAAGACTATAGGTTTGTTTTCAATTTTCATATTAAACTATTTTAATATATTTCATGAAGTGGACTAGGACTTAAAAATATTGCCGTGTGGCTTAAGTTGCTGTCAGCATTGCTAATATGTTTAAGATTGGTCTAAACTGTAGCAGACCTAGGTATAGCTGTCTTTGCTTTGAGATTCAGACCCAAGAGAAATGCTGGCTTCTGTAAAAGAGACAGCCAACATCATCATCAACCACCCCCCAACCCCCCACCCCCCAAAAAAGAAAAACATATCCTCTAAAAGCAAAATGCATTCACAAATAATGTTTAAAGTGGTTGTAAAGGCTCAATGTTTTACCTTCATGCATTCTAATACTTACCTGAGCTCCTTCATGATCCAGCAAGGAGTGCCAGTGCTGGAGAAGAGGATTGGGGCTGCTCTGGGCAAAACCACTGCACACAGCAGGCAAGTATTTATGACATGTTTGTAATTTTTTTAAATTTCCTTTAACATCACTTTAATAATATCTATTAAGTCTGCAGGTGGGCTTTCATTTTTTTAATTCTTAAAAATCAAAGCAAACATAACATGCTCAGGTACAGTCATCAATTTGTTTGCTTCACTCCCTTGATAATAAAAGTGACAGATAGATCAACAGACAGTTGACAGTGATCAATAGATGATGGTTGGCGCATTCAATTCCCAGTCCTTTCTTTGTGAAATGTAGTAAATGAGTATCAGTACACTTTCAGACAAATTCAAGTGAAAGCACCTAAAAATTGGGCTGGAATTTTACATACAGTTGTAGATTAGATTTTTTAGAACATTTATAAATATGCAAAATAGTCCATATAGCAAACTCAGTGGAAAGTTGTTCAATTTAAGGTCATTGCAAAAGACATATGAGTACTCTATGCACTTGGAAGAAAAGAGGTTTCATTTTCATATATGGAATGGGGATTTTGTGAAGAGATGTGACAATATGGAATGTCGTTCCATGGGGACCAGTTCTCAGCTCAGTAGATTGCTTCAAAAAAGGAATGGATCTATTTCTACATGCCAAAATGGCTAAAAGAATTTATAAGAAATGACATTATAGAATGTTGTCCCATGGCAGGCTTTCTCAAATTTTCTTTTTCTAACATTGAGGAACCCTTGAAATAAATTTCCAGTGTCAAGAGAACCCCTGCAAGCAGATACTTTTATCCACAGCTTATGGTATATTAGTTTGATGATCATTTGCAAGAATGATCCTTAGATTTGTGATTAGTAGGAAAAGGAGCCCCTTATAGATAGCTAATAAGATCACTGGTGCCAGTGGTTACTTGTCTGATAGGCAGAAATTGCTAACTGTACAACAAAACCCTACAAATGTCTGGAGGAGCCTTGGTCAAAAAAAAGGTTGTTCCAGGGAGGATCAGACTGACTTTGTGGATCAGAAATTAACCACTTCAAGTCCGGACACTTTCACCCCCTTCCTGTCCAGGCCAATGTTTAGCTTTCAGTGCTATCACACTTTGCATGACAATTGCTCTGTCATGCAACACTCTACCCATATGAATTTTTTAGCATTTTTTTGAGACAGATAAAACTTTATTTTGGTGGTATTTATTCACCACTGGGATTTTTATTTTTTTTGTGCTATATAGATGAAAAAGTCCAAAAATTAAAAAAAAAAAAAAAAAAAGTGTTTTTCTTTTAAAATTTTGCAAATAAATAATCTTTCTTCATAAATATTGGCCAAAATGTATTCATTTATCTTTAGTAAAAAAAAATAAAATAACCCAAATTAGTTTATAACCAAAAATTATAATTTAAAAAAAAGTTTAAATTTTTATTTTATTATTTATGTTTTTTGTTTTTTACATACTGTCACCCTAGCAGTACAGTGTCACCACTGTACTGCTTGTAGGGGGCGATGAAGATTTTTTTATATATATTTTTTTTTTTTTACACTGATTGCTTTTACACCCTTAAAGGCTGTAAAATCAATAATTTCTCCTTCTCTCTGACTGCATTCTTGCAGCCATTGAGAAACACCGTGAGAGCTATGATTGGTCACAGCTTGTCACATGGTACAAGACTGTTGTAAATAGCCTTGTACCATGTGACCTCTGTGATCATTCACAGATTTCACAAGTAGTAAGCAATGATGTCAGGAAGTGACATCTTGCTTACTACTATTCATTTGATCACTGATTGGCCAATTAGGGATCACATGAATCAAGACCTCACACAGAGGTCCCGTACAACGATCGGTGTTCTGCTGTGTCTGGTACCGGATCGAGGTGTGCACACACTCCTAGGGAGCGCGCACAGGCTGTGAATGCGGGCGCCGTTTATAAACGACAACCCGCTCCTGCACTGCTCCTTCCAGCCGTTTATGTACATGGGCCGGACGGGAAGTGGTTAAAAGATGCGTTCATCTTTTAACAAAAAATAAATGCACATTTTTCTGCAGGTAGAAAAATTTGCATTTACTATTTTTTGTTTGTGGAGCCTGGAAAGCATTGCACAATGCAGATTGCTGGCACCATGCAGGTCTCCTGCAGACTGCCAGTGTAATCTATCTAAGTACATTGTATAGGCAGGCAGTTTTACACTGACAGAACAATCACTGCACTCAAGAGCACCATGGCAATTTATTGAGAACTACAAGCCAACAGCTGAAAAGGCTGTCGAAACATGTACAGTAGTCTTCCCATTCACAGAACACTGTGAATGGGTGACATGACCAGGTGGCAGAGCATTTTTTTTTAAATTGTGACAGCTAGTGGGGGGAGAATATCCCCTACTAGTTGTCACAATGGGGGATTGGTGGGGGGGGGGGGGGGTACATGGGGCTGGTTCAATTGTAACATTTTCCATCCTGAATATGAGTGTGGCATTACACAGTAAACCTATACTTGAATTGTTTGCTGTTACTGCAAAATGTTTTTTTGTAGTAGCAGGGGTTTTGCCTTCCTTTGAATACACTACGGAATTAGGATTTTGAATATGACCATACATTTTTTAGGTTGATCTTTAGGTTCATAAAACATCAGTGACTAATGTAATAAACAATATACAGATATTCTATAGTTTTTACAGATAATGGAAACAGAAATAAAAAGGTAAGGATGATTTTTTTGCTGTCTAAAGGTGATCTCATTTATTAAGCTTCCATTGCTACGACAGTGGAGCCATACAAATTTATAGGATGCGCTCTACCTGTTAGGCTGGGTTCACATCTTTGTAGTATTGCTGCAACCACATATGACCAGGCACAGCAGCTTATTCATTTGTATTCAAAAGTAGGAAAAGGTCCCTGCACCTTTTCCAAAATCGCAGCTACAGGGAAACCGCATGGTGTTATGCAGTTCCTGGCACTTGAATGGGCTGACCTATGTGTTTGTCATGGCAAAGAAACTCACAAACCAAATATTAGCCCTGCGTCTGGTGCATTTTTACATGCGTGCTTTGTTGCACACCAATCACACCACATTTGGCGCACCATTTAGAATGAAAGGCATCCAGACAAGCGTTGGGAGTTTTGCAGAGATTTGGAATCGTGGATAGAATCGCTCCAATTCTGCCTGAGATTCCTAATCCCTCAAGTGTAAATGGGGTCTTACAGAGAACAGGGACAAGAAACATTTGAAGGCGATGCATACAATATAGAAATTGCTAAACTTAATTTTAGTTAAAGTGTTACTAAACCCACAACAGTAAAATCAGTCTGTATATGCACTAAAGCATGTTTGTTATACTCACTGTGTGGAACCTAAAGGGGTTAATCCTCTGCGTTTTGTAAAAAGTCTGTTTTATCCCGACTTCTCTGATCCCCCCCTTCTTCCAGTGCTCCCCTTTTATCCCCTGATAAGGCATATCATGTGGAGTCACTCTGCACATGCCCAGTTTGGTGTGTATTGCTAGAGAGGTTTTTTTTTTTTTTTTTTTTTTTTTTGGAGAGTGCCTGCGATCAACACAGGGCCAATCAGCACTGTCCACACAGAGGTCAGGGGCCCTGAATTCTCCTAGAGCAGAAAGAAAACTCCTCCTACATGCTTTAACATGTGCTCTGCTGGACACTGACAGAAGTCACAAGATTGCTCTAACTGCTGATGAGAAAAGGTATTTGCACGGTGTGAGGTCAGGTTCAGAGATCAGTAGCTTATAGCAGCAGACCAACCAACAGGATAGGTAAACAAGCAGGTCATCCTGGGAAATGACACAGGCTCACCTGACGTGCGGGGTCTAAGCACTAACCGGTATTCACCAGAGCTCTTGATGGTTGAGATGGATTTTGCTGCGTGTTAGTACCAGGCCGCAGTTCTCAGGATCACCCCACCAGGAAGTGAGCAAGCCAGGATCCAGTAGCAGATATGGCAGGTAGGGATCTAGCAGAAGCATAGTCAGTAAACAAGCCAAGGGTCAGTAACAAGTGGTAGCAGGTTGGGATGAGGCAGAATCATAGTCAAGGAACAAGCCAAAGGTCGGTAGCAAAGATATAGATAGCAGCAGGAGAAACAATGCGAGATATTGGCTGGAGAAGGCACAATAATCTGGCAACCAGGAAGTGCAGAGACATGGCTTAAATCAGGAAGTTCATGGGAGGAGCAAGGAGTTCAAGGTTCATCAGAAAACCAGGCACAAGGCCGGATTGTCCAATAGATCAGACAGAGTGTTGTCCAGCATCCCAGGTAACTCAGTGAGAAGAATTACTACCTGACACGGTAGAGGTCCCAGGTTCAAGTCCAGGCCCTGACAGTTATTTAGCAGTTTATATTTACTAAAATAAAAGCATTTCAATGGTCAGTGTACTGTGGGAGACCAGATATAGTGAATGCAGGGTCCTGGGTTTAATAACACTTTAAAGAAAACATGATCATTCTACATGCCAGGCAAGATTCAGGACCATGGACAATGGACATTACTCAAAAGCATTTTATGTTGCTATCAAGTGCAATGGCCAACAGCACCAGTAAGGGGGAGATAAACAATGGTAAATGAGCATGATAACCATAAGCAAAGGGTATGACTAGGTATCCTATTTTTTTCTGTACTAAAAATATTAACATAATTTGATAACAACTGCACGTGACCACAAAATCAAATCTTTATAGACACCAGTGAATTGAGATGAAATGTGAAGCCATTTGGGCCTTTTTACATAAAGAATAGATGCTCTTAGCAAAGTGAATTTTAACCTTGGAAAGTGTATATTCACTTTGTAAAGTAAATGTTTGTAAATTAGGTGAACCTGTGTTCCCTTCAAATATCCAATCATGTGCAAGGGAAATTAAAAAAAAGGGTTTTTTGCTATGACGTGACTGGTTAATTGAAGTGATCATAGTTTCATCTTATTTACTAAGCTCAGTGAACATTCACTTTAAAACTTTGCCAGGTGAACAATCACACGGAATGACTGCTAAAAAAAATGTTGTCAGCATGGGCCAGCAATATATGTTAAGAAGTCAAGCCATACAAGAGCATTATGGTGCTTTAAAACCTCTAGAGAGGAACAAATAAAAGCTACAAAGTATATGGTATGGCTGCAGAGAACAGTTAATTTCTGTAGATCAATACCCTCAGCAGCAACAAGAGATAAATCTATTATAAAAGACCAATAAACCAAACACAAAAGTTGGCTTACATTAAGGAAGTATCGGTAATATTTACAAATACATACATATATTATTCACAAGTGTATCACAGATATCACCATTTATATAGTGCTGATCCTCTTAGGTAACGATTGTCCTGCCAGTGGAAAAAGCTATATTTCGGATTAACGACAAATATGGGCAAATATATTTGCTACTTTTATATATTTTATTTCATGTCGAATAATCCCACTAAAATACATACTATCAGCCTTCTCTTAAACTCTCCTGAGCCTATAATGGTTTTTCATGATAAACAATAGGTTATGAAATATATATCAAAAGGTAGAAAACTATGAAATACAACAATCTCTATCAAGTATGAAAATGTTTTGCCTAGATTGCTAAGTATTTTACTTAGTGGTTTATATTTAATGGTTCTTGAAGGCTCAGTTACATTTTCAGATTTCAGTTCATTTATTGTTTTTTTCTGCATTGGAGCTTGCAAAGCATCACATGCATGATCAGTAGATCATTAGTGCAATGCTTTGGCCCCAGAAGGCTCCAATGCTCAGCTCTGTATTGAGGTATGGGCCTTCAGGTGCGAAGCTGGAGAAAGTGATGTCACCACACTTGTGCTCCATTGAGAACTACAGTCCCTCTGCCATGATGGTAATAGGACTTTTTTTCATTCACAGCCATACCGAATTCAAGTTTGACATGAGCTGGCAGGGAGAAGAATCCCCAAATTTGTGAAGTTGGAGGACAATTTGAGGGTGGGGGGGTTGGCTGTGGACTCTGACCATGTTTCATGTTACACCCTCATGCATACTAGACATTTTTACAGCTGCTGTTTTTGGCTTTTGATGTTTTTTCTACAGCCAGTAAACCCCCCAGCATGTTATCCTGTGTGTTCATGCACACATAGACTGTAATCAACGTTTTTTTTTTGGCAGGGGCGTTTTTTGGCTGGAAAAAAAAAAAACAGGACTAGTGGGTTTCTATAGGAGTTTTTAGCAGTAAAAAACGCTCTAACACTGCAAAACACGGTAAAACGCGATAAATCATGTCAATCCGGCGTTTTCAGACTTTTTTTTTACAAAAAAAAGTTAAACAACACAAACGTGAAAAAAAGCCAAAATGTCACTAAACGCTAATGCAAAAACGCAAAAAAATGCTGGAAAACTTGTGTTTTTAATGTTACTTTACACGTCACCAGCTAACGTCACCAGCGTTATTAAAACGCCCCGTGTACATGGAGCCTAAATATGAGCATAACCTATGCTTGAGATTTGCAGCGTATGATCTTTGTCAATTGTTGTTTGTCAAAACCCAATAAAAAATGTATTCTATAGTAAAAAAAAGAGTGTAGCATGAAATATGGTGTAAAAAGTGGAAATTATACATACAGTATTTCTTCTGATTCAGAGCTCTACAACCCATGGTCGAATGTTGCCTTGCACTGTGGTGTGCTGCAGACCACTGCATTGTGGAGGTGGAGTGTCATTCATAATGAATGCCACTGCAGACCATCAATACATGTAATGTACAATATAACAATGCAGTGGTGTGAATGGGCTCCTAAAAACCGAGAATACACTTGAAGAGTCAGTCCACCAAAACTGATACAATATACTACTTTGTGACTACTTTGCGACAGATGCTTTTTCTTTTTTTAAGCAGCATAGACGAGGGTTAGAACCCCTCAGTTATTTTTGTGAAACCACCTTACTGTTGAGGGTACTCTACCTGCTGGAATTCTTGATTTTCTTATAGAGAATTCAGTAGAAGGCGCTGAAATGTACAAAGGAGGATGAGAACATTCACAACTCCCAGACTGACAGAGGCCGAGTTAGGAAATATGACAGGGAGATCCCACTGTAGGAGTATCAAAGACATAGAAGAGTCTAACACATGGGTGCTCAACCTGTGGTCCTCTAGCTGTTGCGGAGCTACAAGTCCCATCATGCCTTTGCCTTTGGGAGTCATACTTGTAACTGTCATCCTTGCCATGCCTCATGGGACTTGTAGTTCTGCAACACCTGGAGGGCCACAGGTTGAACACCCATGGTCTAGACTCTAGCCTAATCTATGAGGCTCCTTCTAAAACTAAAACATCAGTTTTGTCCAGGCCAATCTTTTAAATATATGGATACATACACATTAGCATGGACTGGACTATATAGGCAAGAACCCATAATATTTCTTCTTTACTAAAAACACATATAATACATAAAAATATCTCAATCAGAATTGCAAAGTTGTAGAAAATCCTCTCATAACAAATACACATACCACTGAGGTGTTTTTGTTATTGCAGTAAGACTTCATGTACATTGGGGCTCTTCTAAACGCTTTTCTCCTGGCAGGAGAACAGCAGCCGCAGAAACTCGCTTGTTTACTCATATGCCTTTAGGCTCGTCAAGAGCTTGGGAATTTATTCATTTCATTGACCAGAATATTAATTTATTCTGGTCATTGCAATAAAAAAAAAAATGCTCCAGCACTAAAAGCGAGTTTACTCTCGTTTACCTGCTTTTTAGCACGTCAGTTTTTTTTTTTCTGCCAAACCGATCATCTCTTGAAAGCACAAGTAAAGTTTTTTTTCTGCCTCTAAACTCCTGTAAATGTCTATGTGTGCATGGATACATAGGTTAAAGCGGAGCTCCACGCAAAAGGGGAAGTTCCACTTTAAGCCTCTGTCCCCTGCTCTCCATTAAGGATTGGCACCTTTGGGAGCGGAGGGGGGAATTTGACAGGTACCCGCTCCCACTGATTGCCTAGGTGATTGGAAGCGGAAGTCGTCCTACCCCCCTCCGTTCCCATAGTCTTGTGGGACACGTAACAGGTCCCAGAAGACTACAGGACCATTCACAAGGAGCAGCGCTTCTCGCGTATGCACAGTGGGCACCCGACTGTGAAGTCCCAAGCTGCCCACACTAAAGATGCCGGCACCTGGGAGAGAAGATGGCCGGTGAAACCAGCGGTGGTGAAGACACTGCTGGGCTGAGGGACAGGTAAGTGTCTGTATTTTAAAAGTCAGCAGCTACAGTTAGCTACAGCAGCTAAACTGTAGCTGCTGACTTTTATTTTATTTTTTTTGGTGGAACTCCGCTTTAACATGGAAGGGTGTTTATAGGCAGAGAAAAAAAAAAGTTAAAATGCCAGTACAGAGCTTTTGAGCCAAAGTGTACATGAGGCCTTTTAGTGAAAGCTGAAAGAAACCAGCATTTTTAAGTCAGACCAAGACCTGGACCCCCTAGCAAGCCCAGTTTGAACTGCTATCTTTGTTATGTTGGTTCTAAAATCACTAGGGCTCTAAATGTTCTATAACCGTCCATAAATCTGGAGATTTCGATTAAAGCATTGTGTATCATAAAAATGGCATTTATTTTTTTTTTAGAAAATTATGTTTTAATTTTTTTTTCATCTTTGTTGCATCTCAGGATTGCTGATCCTTCAGCCTCTTTGCAGCTGTTTCCTATCAACAAGGAAACACCCCAGTGGCAGCTGCATGTCATTGGTTAAGGCTAGATTCATATCTGTGCGGGTGGTGCCGCTTTGGGACCCACACAAATACCAGCAGCCACAACCTACCACACAGAGAAATGTGGGAACCGCAAGCAGGTGCCATTAATTCGAATGGCACGCTGCCCGCAGTGGAAATCGCAATCATACTGGGAGACTTGTTTCCCGTGTAGGCTGCGATTTCAAAAATTGTGCAGGGACTTATTTTCCGTATGTCCTGGGGCACGGCAGTCCATTCAAAGGAATAGGCTCTCGGCCCGCACAGCTGTACAGGTGTGAACCTAGCCTTAGAATACCTTCCTGATGGTGACATGATCTAAAGTTCCCACCAGAAGTGCATGTGGTAGGGTGACCATGCAGAAAATCAAAGGGAGACAGCAAAGAATATAAATGCCTGAACATGCACCTTATTGGAAGGATCAACAGATATTTTGTAAACGAAAACTGTAGATTGAAAAAAAAGCTGAAAACGGCATTCAAAATGACAATAACATGTTAAAGATTATATGATATTTTTGTGACTGGGTTTACATCTATTTTAATTTGTTTTCATGTCTTTCTATTGTACGGTAAGGTGCAATTGCTTTGCTAAAGCTTTCTGCAGATTATTGCTTTTTGCTACAATAGGAGTCTTGCAATCACAGATAAAATTAGGTTCCTGACTCCCACCACTCTCTGTATTTGGGTGGCTCTGACACTCGGAAGAGTTTGAAAAATAGGGGAATGC